CAAGTATAAAATCAGATGTCAACCGCAATGTGGATCAAGGATCGTCAACATCTGAGCACAGCTGTCAAGCGTGCCAAAGTTCCCATGAGCAAAAGCGCAGCAAACCGGCGCATTGTGCATTTTTCTCATGGTCTGGAAACAAGCCAGTGTGGTCTGGTGTTTGCTTGCGATCGTCTCTGCAGCGCCTCGGCGTCTGATTTGCACCGAAACACTGGCTGTACATGTACTGTAGACTTATTTCATGCTTTTTAATCTGATGCAAAAATCAGATGACGACCCAACAATGCTAAGAGGGGACTTTTGGTCTCTGAATTATTGATTTGGGAGAAATTTTAAGCAACTGAATTTTTTTTTTTTTTTTATCACGTTTGTCGTTTACTGTAGAGCTTGTTTAACATATGATGACATGTTTAAAATTTTCTGGTTTTGATGTCACAACAGACACTAATTTCAATAATTATCTACACAATTACAGTAGTGAAAATGTCTGAGTCATAAAAGCTTCTCATCCAACAACAACGAGCAAAATATGACTTCTTGCTCCGTTCTTGCAGTGCTTTAGAAAATGCATCCCTAGGTCTTGGCCATCTCAATATTTTAGACCAGATAATTAAGTGCTATTTTTAGCAAAAAGAAACATCAAGTGGTTTGGAAAGTTGCATGCTGCAGAGCCCAGCAGGCTGAGTATAAGTACAGAGGCATGATGCTTCCAATACAACGTTCTCCAGCTGGGATTCATTTTGCAACAACAATATGAGTTGAAGCAAAATGCAAGAGGGATTTTTATCTGTAAAAACCAAACTTTTCATACTCACATTTTGGAATATGTGTTACTTTGTGCTAGTCTGGCGCTAAACTCCTATAAATACATCTTAATGTGCAAAGTGTCACATATTGAAACTTCAGTTTAACTTCAAGTTCTTGACGGTCTTGTGTCCGTCTTGTGACTTTTGAGTGCCTGACTAAAGATGTTCACATGCAGTCCAAATTTGTGTGTTTGCGTGGGCTCCTTGTGTTGACAGTGACGATACGTGCAGTCAGACGACGGTGCCACTCTTTTCCCAGTGTAGATAATTCATGTCTTACGGACAGCAAGGAGACCAAAAATTCACTCACATTTTTGTGAGAAATCACTTCATCCTTTTCCGGTTCTTCTGTTCATTTTCCCCTTCTTTTTTTTTTGTGGCAAACTGTGTAAAACATTAGCATATAATTTCATGCTAAGAGGCTGTCGTGAAGACTTCTCATCTAGTTACGGAAGGCAGTTGTTCAGCTTAATGCTATGAATAGGAGTGTGAACTTGAGGTCCGAGCAGCTTGTGTACAAAGGACACTCAGAGGCACGAGAAGTCTTTAAAGGTGAAAGAGGGTCGACTCCCTAACGATCATAACCTCAGAAGTGAGAGAGAGGTTATGAACAGGGTCATGTCCAAGTTGGCAGTCACACCCAGTGTGGTGGCACCTTTTGTCCGCCAGCTGAACTTGACTGCGTGAACTTTACTAAATCATCTTTATGCTGAGTTTTCTCAAGCTCAGTGTCAGTGGGCACTCCCCACCGAGTCGACTGCAGTTACTTTATGCTGTTTTCCCAGTCAGAAACCAATGATGATTAGTCATTAAGCAGTTCATTGTTGCATTGTGAAGCAATCTGCAAGTTCACAACATAAGATTATGGACAGAAAACACTTGCGAAGTGTGCTATTTTAAAATAATAAAATGGGTTAGATCTGGCAAATACAGAAATCTGAACTGAAAAATAGACAAATAAAAATTTTAATTTTATTAAAACACAATTTTTTTTTTGCAGTTTATAAAAAAATAGAATCTCACTGAGTTGATAAGCTAATAAAAAAGAGATAATTGAAAAGCAACCATAATACCACAACAGAAGCAAAGTCGAGGTTACAGACTGGTTTTATACCAGTCAGTCACATCCATTTGTGGCTTTGTAGGTCTTTAACTGACGGTTTTCACTCTTATTCTAGCATTGCTGGCTAAAGATACATTTACAAGAAAGTTTGACTTGATATTGCAAATATGGCAACTTCAAACATTATTCTGCACACCAAGATGCTTGTTAAACAGCTATTCTTTTGGTATAAACCTGAGAAACTGCAACACACAGTCTGAGGCGTGTGACAGACGTAAACTGCCATCAAAAAAGAAGGCAGGACTTCTGCATGTTGGCATCGTCGAAGCAGGGGTATACGAAGGTCAACAAAACACAGAGCTGGTTTTATTGGCTCGTGGTAGCTGAGGTTAAGCCCACAGCCTTGTTTTTAAGAGTGCAAGCTCCTCAGAGCTGTTGGTGCAGGAACAGGAAAACGACCTGGGACATGCTCAACACCTCAGGTACGTTCAGTTTTGTGAAGTGGAAGTTTTAATGTAGACTGAAAAATGATTGCTTTTAAGCAGGGAGATATTTATAGCGACCAAAGCAAAATGTTGGATTTAGTAAAGTAATATCTACGTTATTTTTTTTTTTACTTACTTCTTTATCAACCTGCATAGTACGTTGAGCCTCAGCAGTCGATTTAAATGAAACAGTTACTAGCTTTACTACCACTATAAATCCACCAAACGTAAACTTTCAGGATGTCTGATTGTGGTTCATCAAAATCTTAGCTCACTCATGACTCATTCATGTGATTTGTTTTGGGGGGGTTTTTTATGTTCCCATTTCTTTTCACATTAAAAATGCTATGTGCGTACAATTCAGAAAGAAATCTGAGATATGGATATTTTTCTGAAAAAGCAAAACAAAAGCTAGAAATCAATTAAGTTGCGGTGGCATTCCTGAACAGAAACATGACACACTCGTTACACGCAGCTGCAAAAAAAAAAAAATGACTGAAATAATAACTGCTGCCCACTCAAACTTGGCGACATCCCTTAGTCAGTGGGGGACAATCTCACTTTCAGCTTTATCTAGAAGGTGCTGGTTTTCCTGATATTGCTATGCTTTGTTGAATATTTTACAGTAAAGTGTGTAACATCAGGCCGCTGAATAAAGAACCCACTGACAATCATTTGTTAAAAAATCGAAAACGATTCCAAATCCAGACTACACATTTCTAAAGCCAGAGCTTTCGTGTGTAAAACACATTATTAATGTTTTTTTCTTTAACTTTGCATTTTCAAAAATTAAAGAATATTTTATTGTTTTTAAATACATTAAAATTGTACAAAATTCTAGATGTGTTCAGTTTAATTAAGATAAAAGTTAAGTTAAATTTGATTTTATGATTATTTTGGAAAGCTAGAAGAGATGAACAATAGTTCTTCCGACAAATATGTGGTCTATTAAGCAGAGACATGATTCAACCAGCTATCTTAAACCATTAAAGTAGCAAGTTTTTAAATGTAGATTTTTATATTTCAATTATACAATTTTGTTAGTATATCTGTGCACGTAAAAAAAAAAAAAACAAAAAAAAAAAACGCCAGTTGGAGTAGATTTAGTACCAACCAACACTAAAATCTGGAAAACATCAAAAGCAAAGTGAAGAAGCTGATGACTCAGAGCAGGAGAGGAAGGAGATTTGGTGGCATGCAACATAAAGTGCTGTCACTTTAATAAATGAACAAAAATATTAAATGAAGCAGGGTTTTTTTTTTTTTTTTGGTAAGTTTTAGTTTCTCAAGAATGACAAATTTGTCATTCTTGTACGTTGTCGTATGACAACATACTTTCATGTACGTTGTCGGTGCATTAAGAGTTGGGGTGTAGATTGGATGGAAAACCCCTGATATTCTACGTTGCTATTTTACTTGAGTATTAGGACCGCGTATTTAAGAATATCTTGTGAGATTTGAAGAATTCATTTCAGAATTTTTTTTTCTAATTACATAAAGTTAATTACATAAAGTTATCGCTTTGCATTGCGGATGTGACAAAAATACAATAAGTTCGCATTTGATGGTTTTGGAAGACATAATTCAGATTCATTTCCTCCATTTTTGACCATTTTTATTAGTCTTCTAACCTGTACACAAATTGTATTTCATTCCTTTTTTTTTTAAATTTGCAACGCAACTAATATTTTCCACTCATTTCCGATTTTTAAAAGCAGAACTTGTGCAGAATTAATTTCAATGTAACATTTAACTTATTTCTGATGATTTAAGAAACCTTAGAAATCATTCCTAGCACATAATACATTCAAATTACCAGACACAAATCGACCCAGAAAGAAATGTTCCGCTTACCTTTTCAGAAAACCTCCATAACACAGACTTGATCTCTTAGTAATGAAATTTATTCTTAAAAGCAAAGAGGACAATTTAACACTGTTATCTGCCTCATTGCTAGCAGAGTGCAGTGAAACATGAAATGAAAAAAAAGTGATTGTGAAAACTGCCTATAAAGGCTCTTAGCACGCGACACTGACTGATCTGACGACCGTCTGACTACCCACGATTTCCCCTGTGCCAACGACCTGATGCCAGTGTCACGCAACACGCTTCGGTATGACTAAAGTGTCTCTGCTGCTTACTCAAACTGAACAGCAGAGCTGCAGCTCCTTGACTTTTAGTCTGCTTGTACCAGTTTGTATTTCCTGATCTCTTGACATAGTGGGCAGAACTCTTCTCAAAATGAATCCAGGCTTCATGTAAATTGGAACCTGTCGTGCGATAGAACAATAATACGTCCTCACGCAATCTAGTTGTGGCGTGGCATTTTGCACAAATCTGAAATGACTCACAATATTCACTACAGGCTGATCAAAAAGCTAATGGTTTAATGTGCAGTAGGTGTTGGGGTTCAGCTTAGCTTTACCACCTACAGACAAAATTTTGAAATGGTTCCAGTTAAGCTTATTTTTTTAAATTCAAGTTCTACTAATTAAATAGCTGAAAGAACAAATATAGGATAAACAACTGAATGTACTCTGTTTAGACGAAATGTTTCTTTTTACTTTGAGTTTTCAGTTAAGGATGTGATTGTGTTTTAGGCACCAAACTTCACTGCATGAGGAATTTACACGTTTTCTTTCTGTTTCCCCACAGAGAAGATGGACTACCCCAATTGTGATCCTCTCAACTACAGTGATCCTATAAAGTGCTGGGAAAACTTCAGCAAAAACGAATCTGACTTCTACGAAAATGACGACTTTTGTGAGCCCAGTACAAGCGAGAAGTATGTCATCCCAATGTTCCAGACATGCGCCTTTTGCCTGATTTTCTTCGTGGGAGTTCTGGGAAATTGTCTGGTGATCGCCACCTTTGCTCTCTACCGACGCCTCCGGCTTCGTTCCATGACTGATGTGTTTCTCTTCCACCTAGCGCTGGCTGATCTCCTCCTGCTCCTCACTCTCCCTTTGCAGGCATCCTACACTCACTGGGGTTGGATTTTCCCTGTCGCCCTCTGCAACGTGATGCGTGCATGCTATGCCATCAATACGTACAGCGGACTGTTGCTGCTCGGCTGCATCAGCATTGACCGCTACATGGTTGTGGCACGAGCCCAACAGATGCTACGACTGCGCAGCCAGATACTAACGGCGGGGAAAGTTGCTGCTGTAGTTGTCTGGATCGTTGCCATTCTCTTGAGCTCGCCTGAAATCCTCTACTCTGGGGTTTCTGAGTCTGAGTCTGATGGCAAGAAATACTGTGTCATGCAAAAGAGTGGGCACGTCAAGATGACCACCAATGGAGCTATCATAGGCGTCTTCTGCGTGTCTTTTTTCACCATGGTGGTATGCTACACTTCCATAGGTGTGGTTCTGTGGGAAGGCCACGTGCATCGCCGTGGGAAGCAGTGGCACCGGCAGCGCACGCTAAAGCTCATGGTTGCCCTGGTGCTGGTTTTCCTGATCTTCCAGCTTCCATACACGGTGGTTTTGTCTCGGAAAATAGCGGGGCAATCCTGCGATCTGATGGGGGAGTACATCACCTGCACTCTGGCATACACACGCTGTTGCCTCAACCCCATCCTGTACGCACTGGTTGGCGTACGTTTTCGCAAAGACGTACTGCAGCTCATGCATGACTCTGGCTGTCCATGTAGACTGCAGCTGAAGCTGCACAGTGTCCACTCCACATCCATCTCTGCCTCTTCTCCTGCTCTCACTGTCCTCTCGGTTGTCTCCCCAACATCACCTGATCGCAGTTGCTCCAGTAGGGATGGATTAACCTCTCTCAAGTTTCAGTTTCCAACAAGCGAATGATCTCGAAAGTAGAACATAAGTGTCTTTGCTTTAAATATGTCTTGTAGCATAATGAACGGACGTTGGAAATCAGTTTAAAAGTAATTGGATCCTCTCCTCAATTTCTGTATTGGTTTCCGGCAGCACGACTTTAAGCATCTGCAGCTGATCGCTTCACAACAAAGCAGATTTTATCAGTCGCTTTTAGATCTTTAAACTCCAGTCTCATGTGTCAAGAAGGAGCTTCTTATAAAAGCTACTGCTCTTTAAGATGTTGAATATTACTGTAGTGATAATGATAAGTTGTACAGATTTTTCCACTCAGCATGAACAGATGTTAATTGTTGTTGGTCAAAGCTAAAAAAAAAAAAAAAAAAAAGGGGGGAGAGACTTTAATTTTTATACACCCATTTTGTACAGTTTACATTTTAATACCCAACTATGAGAAAATAACGTTTTGCTTTATTGTATAGAAATTCACAGCAGCCTTTGTGATTTGTTCAACCTGTAAATATTTTATTTTTGTTTTTGGCTTCGCTTTCAATTTTTGTAACTTATTGCATTATACATCATTTATTTTTGCTGTACAAAGCTTGTCCTGTTTTCTATGAAGAACCATTGTTGAAATTCAAATAAACCAGTGATATATCGCCTCTTCTTTGTTGCCCGTTTTCTTTTTTAACATTCTCTGCCGAGGATAATAAATATTCACCTGAAAATAAAAAAATCAGACTTTTCAGAAAATTCATTGTAATCTTGGCCATTTTGACTTGGTGCAGTAAACGTAGTATATTGTGGTTCAAAGTCAGACTCTATCTAAATTTACAGCAGTTGTCTTAACATGCAAGCTAATCAACTTTCTTATAATGTAATTACATTTTATATTCTGGAATGACTACAGTCATCTTTTTGCCAACTTTCCGATTTTATACTTATAGCAGCTTTTACGTAAACGGTTGCCATTTTCCTGAATTACTATTCAATTATTATATCCTCATATTTTTGAACAGATTTCAATAGATTACTATGATATAGGACGAAATTAGTTTTGTTGTACTTTCGAAGTGTTTCGCCTGACAAGCCACATTCATAGAGACCTTTTTATAACCTACAACTTGGTTATGATGGTCCAGGGCAGCGATGAATGGATTGAGTCTATACAACTCTGCTCTAGTCATTCCAACCACCCAAATTGTTTAATACTAAACCCACAATTACACATTCACCCTCACCAGTATGTCCACAATGAAGATGCGCAATTCAGTAAGCAACTTGGAAGCAAAGCGACGACTATGCACTAAGTTACAGTCACCCTCAGTTCATTCCCTTACTAATTTGTACCTCCATTTCATTAAAGCGTGTTGCCGTTGTGTCTCCTGCTACTTCTATTTTGCGTCAGTAAATAGTTTTGCACTCATGTACTTCAGCTATTGCAAATCAGTTTGTTATAAAGTATTTTTTTGTCTCAAATAAATCTTAAATATTCTCAATGCAAAACATTTGTTATGAAATGTTTCATGGAGGAGGGTATCTTTTTTTTTATCCTTTTCGAAAAAGCTTAAGAACAAATCAACCAAAACTTAAAAAACAAAAAAGAAAAAAAAGGCAGAAATGAATTGGGTTGAGATCTGGTGATTATGGAGCAAAACAATTTAACAGGATTTAAGCTTTTTTTTGTTTGTTTTTTTTTACAAACCCTTGTAAGATAAAGGTTTAATTCATTTCATTTACATGGTACCAGTTGTCACTAAAAGTCACCCCAAATTCCAAAATGGAAAAGTCAAAAAGTTTTATTTAGACAGCTAAATTTAAATAAATTCTGATTGATTTCTGATGAAAAATTTGACGGATAGAAATGGCTTTTCATAGCAGAATAAATTATACAATTTGCCCTTTATCTTTCAAACAGGAAATGAGTGGGACAATGTTAATGCAAATAAAAGAGACCGGTTCTGCAAACTTCTAGATGACTCAACGTTTGTGGCACAGAGAGTAGTTGTGGAATTAGTTGGTACGACTGACCTCTGCTACAGTTTCTGACTGCGATTGAGCTGAAAACGTCTGACTGACTGAAAATGCTATTGTTTCACCTGAATGTCGTGCAAAGATTGTTTTGATGTTGAGTATTACTGGCCCAAGGTAAATGCTTACATGGAAAGCATCTGCAACTTTTTATTATAATTATTAATGCACAAACACGGAACTTGACTGGTTTTTATCTAGTCACAGCTTACAGACATAAAGGATGAATATGTAAACTTTTAGAGGAAATAAAATGCAGAACTAAAGGAATATTGCATGTGCATGTGTATGCACAGCAAGGTTTTATATAAAGAAAGAAAAGCAGGTCATGGTGGAGCAATATTTGCTGTTACATGAATCACAATGCTTTATATAGTAATTATTCTAATGCATTTATTTTAGACTTATAAACAAAACTGGGCATATATTTAAATGGCTTCTCTTTAAATTTATAGTCACTGAACATTGGTTTGATATAATTGGCTTCATTTAGATGCAGTTCTACTGTGTCAACAGTTTTTTTTTTCTTTTTGTGCACATTTGGCTGCCTTCTCACTGTTGATTATCTGCACGGTCTAGTTATTGATCGGGGGAGTTTGTCTCGGCAAGTTTTTGTTGATACATTTGCAAGATATGGTGTAAGTAAGATTTTTGGGGGGTTTTTCATAATGAGCTGCCAAACTGCAAATTTGTTTCGCAAAGTCACTTGTTTGATTATGTGGGGGGGGGGGGGAGAAGCTGCAAAATTAATTTTTGTTCTGTTTTGGGGAAAAGGTTTAGATCATAGCTTACGGTTTACAGCTGCTTTAAAGATTTTAACATTATTATAGAACCGAAGCACAAATTCTAAATATTGTGATAAACATTGTGTATCAGACTAAGTCCAAACTGTAATAAAGTACTTTTAGCACATTTTGCCCAATACTCCCTGAGAAACTTTAAAAAAGTAAAAGAAATTATTATAAATTCTTAAATTACATTTATTTTGTAGAATACTAAATACATGGTATAATAGCCAGTAATATATTGATTATTATACCATAACCACTTAATATTGTGTTGAAAAGAGAACCTCTAAACCTCTTTTCATTTTAAGATCTATCTAGCTTTTTTCTCGTTTCTGTGTGAGTTAAAGGTACAGCGACAACATTTAAGCATTGAAATCATATCATAATCACGGTTTTGATAATAAATGTTGTTGATATTTTTAAATAACAAAGCTACACTCTAGTTGCATGGGCAATATCTAAATTACAAAATGATTTCAGAATAGTGCTGAAACCCCCTTCCCCCTAAGGGCATTGTTTGTCCAAGAGGCACTGCTGATCTCTGTCATCTTTCCATTGTAAGTTACCACAATAATAGACCCATATAAGAAGTGAAACGGATTTGTGATACTGAAAACTGAACCTGAAATTAGCCTGCAAAGACATTGTAGTAGTGTAGTGGTGCTGTTAGTGAAAGCTTAAACATCTGTAGTTCTCCACCACATCCACACTGTCCTTTTCCCACATTGAAACACAATAGGACGGGTTTCTGCATTTCTTAAAAAGTTTGCCACGTCAAAAACGAGATGATTTTCGCTGCAAAGTTCAATTTGTGATTTCCATTAAAACACGTCACCTGAAATATGAACTATAATTAAAATGAATCATTAACAGTAGTCAATGCTCTCTTCATTAACTCTACATATTAAGTTGTGAGAAATTGGAACTGTTTGTGAGAGCGACTGAAGTGTGCAGCGCTACTTTGCTGAAGTTAAAAAACTTGTCGCTTTTGAAATCTTTTTACCTCAAAGCTGTGTGGTTTTAGACTACAGTGAGTCACACAACACAAAAAGACAACAGCTAAGTTTGGTCATGGTAGTTCACCAGCCACGAGCCGTGCTAGCAGCCATGAGATGACAAGAAAAAATATGTCACATTAAAATGTTGCAACTATGACCGCAAGCAATTTTGAAATCATGAAAAGCACCAGCAGGTTTTTATGCATTTAAGTCAAGGGACTGAATGTCTGCGCACACTTTCACAATGTTTTTTTGGGACCTTACATGACAGACTTTAAACATGGTTGAAGTTTTGCAGAATGTATCAATATTTCTATATGAAATGAAGCATGCAGTATTTTCCAAAGTTGTTTTTTTTTGTTGTTGTTGAAATTGCAGCTAAGGGAATGCAAATATTAACACAGTAGAAACTCTTAAGGAAAACATTTTGATTAGTTTTCTTTAAGCTGTTTTGACTAACCCTTTATTTGTGCAGCAGACTGAAATTTGAATAGTTTCTGAATCTTTAATTTCTTTAAAACTGCTATCTGTCCTTTCACCATTTGAGGCCATCTGGTGTTCTGCACATTTTTTTCTTTTCTAAGGGAACCATTCAGTGATGTACGGCTTATGGTTTTTGAATATTTTGATCTGAATGCCACGTACTCATTAGCACTGTACTTTAAAAAAAAAAAGTTACATATTTATTTACTTTTCAAAGCATAATTTTGTCTTATTATGCGTAATTAGATGCATTAATCATTTGCCCTGACAAGTAATGCAGGAGAAGCCAGATTAACTTGAAAACACAAATTTACAGTTTGTTAAAATTTACAAAATAGTGATCAAACTTCCTAAGCGTTTCCTTCTGTCCACTGTGGACAGAAGAATATAATTGCTTCTTTTCATGTTTCACATTCCTGTCTGCTTTCCTTGAAAGTCAGTTTTGAAGAGAATATCTAAAACAATGATTTTGCAAGGTCAATTTCAAGTGTTTGTCCTTAAAGTGCTTTAATCTTTAACAGATTAATCTATATTAAAAGGGATTTGTATAAGAAAATCTGAAATGACTATTTTCTTGAAACTTCACTTTAATTATTTTTCACTAAGCTGGGCTGAATGAATAGAAAATGATCAGAATCATGAGAATAAACCATGTAATAAAGAACAGCTGCTTTTTCTCTCATGTCTTTTACTGTATGTTTAACATTTGGATGTATTTTTTAATTTTTCAGATTAAGCCAAAACTATGGTTTCATTTTCTCACCCACATCAACGTTAAAACTATACCAAGCATCAAACTCTCTCATTCGAGACATTCAAAGTGTTGTGTTCATAAATGTTTTAATTTTTAAAAGTACATAAAACGCGTCTCTTGCTTCCCGTCACTCACATGCATTGTGTTTAACAAAAGGCAAAGTGGCATGACCTAGATAAAGTTCCTGAAACGTGTCCAAACCAACTTTTTCAAACCTCAAACCAAAATTTTGTGCAAAACATTTGCTTGCCCATGATAGACCCACCTCATACTTCTAAAGAGAAGGTGACAAAACGTCACTGAATGCACAAGTAGCACTAAACAGACCCACACACTGCCTCTCCCGTCATCGCATGCTTGTTAAATCTCCCTGGTTGTCTGTGAAACCAGGCCAGCTTTTGACACATTCAGCTTTAAGTTAGCGCTGCACAGCCACCCGTTACACTTGAAGGCATACCTATTTGTTTACTGGTAAAGTTTTTGAGGCGACAACAATATCTCATTTTCTCTTTTCAGACACACTTTGATGCGAGACGCGGGCGGTTTTAGCACTGCGGCATCTCTCTTCAGACACGTCTGTGTCTCGTGAGCCTCCTCTTTATCTTGGTTCCTGTGTGATCACTGCTAAGATTTTCTAATGGCATCTGTGGACATACATTCAGCACATTACTTGAATGTGCTGAATGTATGTCAGAATGACGCATTAATATGCGTCATACTTTACTAATGTAAATGCAACTACTTTATCACCAACTGCAATACATAGTTGCTAAAATAAACAACAAAAGAAAAAAAAAACAGTACCTTATCAGATTTTAAATACCTTCTGAAAACAATATACACTGAAGACATTCTGTAACTTGGCATTTACAGGGGGGTGGAGGGGGGGGTAGCTGTGTAAGCATTTTCTTTTAGAAAACAGAAAAGCAGTAAAAACATTAATGACAAAAGTCCTGTTCAAATGTTACAAGGCCAATATTGAGAAAAGGAAAGAAATTACAAGGTAGAAAAATATATAGATTTTTTCAAAGTTGACAGTCCCCGTACATCGTTTTATCCTTCGTGACATGCTGATCTCATTTTCTGTCAGAAGCAAACTTGTATATTACACGATATTCAGTTTTAATCATCGAATCATTTTGGACCCGACACTGTTCACAAGCGTCATCCACTGATACTTGTTAGCAGTCAGGCACACATCCTTCTTTTACTTGTTAGGATCCTGAAAAATGCATTTTTATGTGGGCGTACTGTGAATCTTTGGATTTGATTGATATTAAAATGAGCAGTTTCTGCTTCTCGTCAATGTGACTGTCCTGAGAGAAAGAAATGTTCCAGTAAACTGCGAGTGTGGCTCATGACGTCAGCTTCAACTCTTGTTTGTAAGAGAGCAGGTAACATTTACATTACCTGTTGTTTTTTGTTTTTTTTATGTGTGACAAAGCCATAATTCTTTAGTAATATTAAAGCATGACCACTAGAGGTCAATGTGGTCCTTGGTACTTTCTACTTTCTCACTACATATCTGTCAGAGTCTTGAAACACTGTTTTTATTCTTACAAAAAATGACCTCACTTCACTAATGGTAAATAATGGAATGATTTATATCTTGTCCTGGAAACATCAGCTTTATAACAGCTTCATCTCAAGTGTTTCTTTGACTTTGCAAGATAAATGTAAACTTCTTGCCGATCATTTTCTGAACTTGGAAAGTTGCTTCTTATGCTAATCTTTCAGATTTATTGCTGGGATCTGTCTTTAAAGCAGACTTATTTGTAATACTTTAACTATACATGTTTCAGAAAAGCTGTTTATTTCTGCTGAAAAGTCTTTCTGCGGAAACACTCATGAGACGCCGTTATTCAGTAAATGTTTCTAAAAAAAAATGTAAATGAACAAAAAGAAGAGACCTATATGTTGTGCTACGGGTTCTGATTTTTAGTTGTACTACATGTGGATTTTAATTCTGAGCTGCTGCAGTGCTTTCTTAGCTCAGAAGGCCTTTCTTTCTCAGTTCGATTGTTAACGCTTTGACGCCTTCACAGGATTGAGTGAAGCTCAAAGCATTTGCATCACAAAAGTAAAAATGAAAAGCATCCTGTACTTTACGCAAACTTGTTTTAAAAGTATTTAACGTCGGAGACTGTAGCTCACTGAATGCTTGATTAAAAAAAATTAAAAAAAGGCTTCAGTGAGGATTACAATATGCTGTATGGATAGTCACTAATATCTTACTGCCTTCTTTGTATACGACTATGATTCTTCAATGACTAAATGACTGAATGACTTTTGCATTCAGTTCTACCTCAGAACTGAAACTGTTTCGTAGCCCATTTTGAGACTATCAGCCTGACCTGGTGATACAAGGGCAGATCGATCCATGCATTCATGTGACTTGGGTCACTTTGGCCCCTTAAACTCTGAATATTGCAGCTGAAATTCAGACTCATCTGCACAGGCAACTGTTTTTTTTTTGTTTTGTTTTTTTTTTTTGTTAACCTTAGTAAAGTGTAGTCTCCGGTTGCTGTTCTTAGGTGTCAGGAGTGTTGTCTCCTGGTGTCTTTTACAGCTGGAGCCTGAAGGGCCAATATGTGCGTTCAGACATGATATCCCACATATACTGGTTAAAACAAGTTGCTAAATGATGCCACCAAGTTCTATTCATAGCCGTGTTTGGAAATTAAAGTATACTAAGGAGTCTAAGCTGTTATTCCTGATCTCTACCACAGCTGAATGTAAACAGGAACTTTGTTCAAGAACTTAATCTTATCTCATCTTGCTTATCTAATTACAATGTGTTTGTTCTTTTTGTGCGTGGATTAAAAATACAGACTTTATAAATTGCTTTGTTGAAGTATCATTGCCGGCTGCATGTCACCATGCTGCTGACCAGGTGTGGTCAGACTGCCACGTATCTGTGTGGCACTCATAAATTACTAAAAGCATCCTCCACCTTCCTGTAAGTCTCTGGCTTTCTGTAACTGAAATACGTCATCGCCGTTTCTTGGCTCGTGCGATCAAAAAAAAAAAAAAAAAAAACACTTGGAGACGATCTGAAAGTGTGCGATCCTCTTTGGCACGTGACGTCTGTGAATAGACAGAATGCAGGCCGTTCTCTGTTCTTTTTGTGACGAAACATTTAAGCATGTAAGGAGGCTTTGATCACAAAGAGATGTGGTTGTGCGAGTTGTCAACCGCTGATTGTTGACTAGCCACCCCAGCAGCGCCACAGAAAAGAGCCACTTACTCTGGATTAGGATTGTTTTTATGCGTTTGCTATAGGAGTAGTTTGTATTTGAAGTCACACAGAATAGCATGTTTTTATCAAACTGAAAGTTTGATAAAGTGTACAGGGAAACAATTTCTTATTTCCCTGTACACTTAAAATAATAAAGTCAGCAGATAAAAATCACATTTTTGTAGCTCATATTTTCAGGTCTAATCGGATTTTTAAGACTCCACCTTGATTGTAGAGAAAGAAAGCAAAAATACACACTGTGACTGGGGTTAGACGTTGATAATTTAAAGGGTGCAGCTTTTCAGACCCAAAGCAGAAGGGTCGGGCTGCTAAGTTAAAGAATTACGATCACAGGATCTTTCTACTTCAATATGTTTTCTGTGGAGCTTCACAGAAATGAGAAGTTTTCCATCATTCAAAGATAAAATCATTTTAATGAGCAATTTCTGTTCAGGATCCTGTTGCTCTGTAGCCTCCGTGTGCTGAAGAAGCTGCAACTCCCTCATGAGCTTTGATGAACTCTTTTGTCTTGCAAGTGGGGCAAACTACTTTCTTAATCTACTAAAGTATTATAATAGTATATATTTAGAAACATATTAGTCAGAAAGCCTGTTTGATCTGTGATGAAAGTGAATATGTTCACATTTGAATTAATAATGAGCTTTACAGCGCACTTTGATTGTTATTTTTAGCTCATGTAAGTGACCCCAGGTAGGGAGCTGCAGGAGGAGGAGACTTTTTTTTTTGAAAAATTTTTAACCAACACGGTCATTGGATTGTGGCTAATAAACTTTATATGTGCTTAATTGAATTTCCTCAAATCCAGGCCTTTGAGGGCCGGTGTCCTGCAACTTTTAGATATGCCTCTGCTTCAACGCACCTGAGTCAAACAATTAGCTCATTAACATGACTCGAGAAAACTTGAATGCATACTGTGGAGGTGAATCAGCCTTTTGATTCAGGTGTGTTGGACCAGTGACACCTGAAAGTTGCAGGACATCGAGGTTTCCCGAGGCCTGTATTCGAGGAACCCTGGTCTACATCGTGGCTTTTTTTCCTTCACATATCCCCTTTAATAACTCTGAGCGGCACATTAAATCATTAAAAAATCTCTATTTTAAATGTTGTAAACTGTAATAAATATCAGTTTTCCTTGTTCCTTCTCCTCCTGTTGTTGCTTGGCACGTTTCAAGAATCAGGTGTGGCCTTAACTTGACGGCATTAGGACCCAGGATGCTTTGTGCTCTTAGTTACAGGCACTGCTACCTTCAGCTTCTGTCTGTCTGTCCCTGCATGGGATAGAATGAGCAACTGCCTGCTGGATCTTTCCCTGGCTCTTTATTTTTCACTTTTTTTTCCCTCTATGGACATGGCTCTCACAAATCTAAAGATTTCTAGCATTCAGGAACAGATGGATGAGATGTGCACATTACCTGCTGGAAGAGCTAATGGTGTTTACCTGAAACCACTGCAGCAGCTTTAAAAGCATTTCTCCAAGTTTACTTTTCAAATTTCTTGGACTGAATTTTTCTGACTTCAGGCTCATCTTAGACAGAAGCTACAGGAGGTGTGGACTCTACCTTCTAATCCACTTTTTTTTTTTCTTTCATTTGCTCAGCCGTCACTCTGTCTGTCACTGTCATGATATCCCATTCCCTCTTTCTAGGGTTTCATAATGCTTTGGGATCTCTGCGAGGTCTCTCTCTCATTCAGAAGTTGGGCTGAATTTCATCCCTTCGTTAAAAGGATAAAGGGCAATGAAAGCAGCTTCAGGATGAGTTAGTACTACATGTTTGTGGAGAGGATGGGAGCTCAGTCACACAGAACCTGGAAATAAACTGAGCCTTAGGTGTGAGCTGCGCAACTTTTGTTGTTAGGGTTTGACGTACGAGTTGTATTTGAATGTATTGATCACAATCATGGGAAACGCAGCTGGAAGCGCTGAGATTTCCCAGGGAAGGGATCTTAAGGAGACCACGATAACCAGCCCGGAGTGCGCTGGGCCCCAGAAGCAAACGACGGGACTGAAGCATCCGATGCCGCCCAAGAGCGAGCTGGAGGAACGCTTCAACGCTGCACTGGTGAGTCCTGAGGAGCACTGCTCTGTGCAGCATGTCAACAGTGGAAGGAAACAAAATATGTGGACTATGTTTGCAATATGAATGTCAGAACAATCTTGTCATTGTGCCAGTTACACAATGCAACCAATAAGATACATAAGAGCACATTTGTTCTGGTCTGTTTTAATTAAAGACCCTGATCTGCAATCCCCCTCCTTAGATTAGACTTAAATTCCTTGAGTATTGGTCAGTCAATAAGTGCTGCCAAACACTCCATGGGTTTGTGCTAATGGAAACTACCAGCAGTTGCTTATAATCACCAAACAGAAGCTCACAAGTCTTGGCCTTGTCAAAATAAATACATTGGACACTTCTGCACCACTTAACATTTTTAGGTCAATGTATTTTATTGTAGTCATGTTTTAATATTTTTGCTCAGGCTGATATTTAAACAAAAGTCCTTAACAGCACATAAGATTGGAGTATTTTGGCATAATCAATCTGTATACATTATGACCAAACGAATTGCCCTGGACAGATCGCTGGTCCATCTCAGTTGTAGAACACCAGTTGACCAGGACTGGAGTTGCAGATCCCTGCTTTACAGGGAAGAGTGGGGAATCACCGACACTCTTTCAAGGTCTTTGGGAAATTACGTTTTATTCCCCACAGCCATAGCAGCCAATAAAGTCCATTTGTTGACCCACTTTTCCAGAACTGTTGTTCCGCTCACATTATTCTAACACAGTTTTGTCAAAGGTTATAATGTCTTATTCTTAGACGGCAAACACCGATTGACAGTGTTCTCCATTTCTGAACTGCTGTTTTGTCATTACCAAGACTTAGGGCTGTAAACAGGCTGGACTCAAGCCCACGTTGTGACGGTAAAAAAAAAAAACAATACAAAAGGAACACGCAGATCTGAGTCCCAACAAGGAAGCTATGTTCAGAATGCAACCAGACGACTGGCTCGGTTGTTATCCACATTCCTCTTCCCCTTGCCATTCTTATCTCAGAAGCTGGTGCTGATGTTGACGTGACACATATATTCTTTAAGCTTACAGACTGTCAGCTGATCTGCCAACCAGCACCTTAATACTGACTTCTTTCTTCAAAAAAGATGAATCGGTGAATGTTAGCTAAACCTGCTTTCTGTATAACAGGAATACAAGTAATATATCCTCTGCAGATGTTCTAATTTTTTTTTTCCTTGTCACTCAAAGTTTGGAGATCTCCAAGTCTGTTTATGTTCAAAATGCATAAGAAACTTTTCAAGTAACCCATTTCCAAAAAACTCCTTAAAAATCCTTAAAAACTCCTAAATATGTTTGGATTTCTTATCCTTGGTCTTAAATTTAATTTTGTTATTTCAACCCTGCTTCCACGTCACGGACAATATCCACATCTATACATTTGCATGTTTTGCTTACCAAATGAGGCAGTCAATTTCTTTGTGTGCAGTATTTGTTTGTTTTTGTAGTTGTGAGGTTTTGTCTGGTTCTGCTGCAGGTAGAAAAAAAAACTGCACAACACAGGTGGAGACAGAGTGAATTTAGAGGCTTCAGAGTTGAGCACCTTTTCTCCTCGGTGAATATGTTTATAGGTTTTATGCAAAACACTAACAGGGAATGAAATCGTGGATAAAGTGTAACGTGAAGATAAAAGGAGGAAGGCAGGTGACATTTAGTTCCTGATTAGAAGCTCTTTCCTCCATGTTCTTTGTAAAAGAAAAAAAAAATGAGTTTGCAAAACTCCTACAATCAAACTGCGTTTAGTTCTAATTCACCAGCCACGCAGCCAGAGGGTATTTCAAAATGTGCTTTCAGCATCTTTTCATGCTACTTTAATGTGTGCGTTTGTTCATAGTGACCTGCAAAACAGCGACTTGGTTTTCTTTCTGTAGTGATCTAAGATCCGTGAAGCTTTTCTTTTAGTTTTATCACACTTTATCATACTCAAACCTGGTTTGGGCAAAAGCAGTTTGTTTCTTTAAAAGTCATATCTTCAGTCATGTTGGGGAACAAAGCAGTAAAAAGTGGATTGAAAACACTTTGTAAAGCAGACACTTTTATTCAAGTGCGGGGAAAATATTCATACTTGTTTAACAAAGTTTAGTTTTTTTACTGTGATCTGTACTTTGGTGTCTGCCATTCTGTAAACCTCAGGGGTTTACTGCTGCTGCATGAATCCTCCTCTGCACAAAAGCTACTCTACTTCTCTAAAAAATGTACTTGGTGGAGACAATTTGCCACAGAGTAAGAAATATCAAACAACCTTACACAGACACACTCACACCTAACGACAATGTAAAGAGACAAGTTGATCCAACGTTCATCTTTTTGATCGTGGGAGGAAGTCGGAGTACCCAGAGAATCCTCACATGCACAAGGAGAACATGCGAGCTCCATGCAGAAAGACCCCAGGCTGGAATTCAAACCCATGATCTTCTTGTTGCAAAGGCAGTGCTGCCAGCTCTAATTTTTTTATAGCATTTTGCAAATACAATTTTGAAATACTTTGTGATAATCGTGAAAAAGTTCAAGGGGTGCATCTAGGCTTCCGCAAAGGACTACGTTATCATCCACTATGTAGCTTTATGTGTCGTCTACTGAAGCAGCAGTGTGGGTCCACTCCAGATTTTCTATTTTGAATGGCTTCTCAGGAACGTCTGCTTGTAACCAGCATTTATTGATCCTTCAGCTTCATTCATCAGGCTTCATTCATCCGATTCCCTTTCATCATTGATCTCCTGTCCTTGTTTTGCACAGAAACACGTGTTTTCATTCGCTCGCCACGTGTTTCTGACGACTCAGCTCTTGCGTTTAACCAGACTTAAATTATTTGGTTAAACTGCGAGTTCACCTTGGAGAAGGTGACACATTTGTGTGCCGGGCTGATATTGGTATAGGGTGGGCTTATCTGGATTCTTGTTGAAAAGATAAGTCTTGTACTTTTTCTCATCCTCATAAACATTTCCCCTCAGCTAAATAAGCAGCAGTTCCTTTCTGCTTTGGTTCTGGCCAAAGTGATGAATTTGTGCGTTTTCAACGAGACTCATCTCCTAGATTCTCTGAAAACTGGGCCAAAGGTTTGTAATCTAATGCTTGGTACTGTGTGTAAGACGGCCAACACTGTCGTCATCGTCGTGTTGTGGCAACATACAGCTGATAACAAATGAGGTCATCACATAACAAAGACATCTGACTGCAGAAACTAGACAAAAGAGGCGCTTTGAATTACTGAAGAACTCCAAGAGCAAGTGTTTTCATGCAAGATTATAAAGCAGCTAATCAGATAATACTTTTGCATTGGTCAACATATTTATTGTCTGTGTGTAAAAAAATTATATTCAAACACAGTTTTTCCTCCAGAATGTCAGGTGCAGTTCTTTCTTTTTGAAGGTCTAGAGTTTGTCAGGTTTTGCTGAAGGGTTGATTAACACATTATTTTCATTTTTTATAGATTAAAAAAAAAAAAAACACTGAAGCTACAAGCAATATTAGGCAAATGTATGCAATTCCAAAACAAATCCAAACTTTTTAAACTGAACTTCCTTCATAAATGTTGAAATATCCATTTAATACATTAAGTAACTGACTTGAAAAATGTGTTGAAACGGTGATGCATAGAATAAATAATAATAAAAAAAGAACTTTAAAATTAGTAGAGATTATTTTACTTATTTTCAAATGTGATGTGTGGATATTCGGTTTATTTTAAGCTTACATATAATTGCTTATTAGTCTAATTTTAAAATTAATTTTCCTTAAACCTGATTAACTTTCGAGCCTCAACATTGTTTTTCCTTCCATTCAAAGTTAAGAAATTATCTTAACTTAAAAAGTGAGGCAAAACACAGCAGACAGCCACCTAAAAATACAAAACATACCAATTTTGTAATTTGATGGGGAAAAATATCACTTCCAGCATGACTGTAACTTTTACAGCTATTCTATATTTTACAGTGCTGTCATCAGTTGTGTTCCTGGAGACAAACTGGACAGTTTAACCATTGCTCTGGTGTTTTTGTATTTTTTTATTTTTTTTATTTTTTGCTTCCAGGACACGATGAATCTTCCTCCAGACAAAGTGCAGATCCTCTCCCAGTACGACAATGACAAGAAGTGGGACCTGATTTGTGATCAGGTATGTTTAGATGAATCAAGAAGCAGGTCATTCTGCTTCTGTTCAGGTGGATCTTTGTGGCTTTGACGCATTTCAGAGTGCAGATCCATTCAATACATTCAGAAAATTATTGAAAAGTCCATTTATTTCAGGAACTTCATCACCTAATGAAAGACTTCATACAGATTAATTACGTACAGATGGACATTTGAAAGTCTATTTCTGTTATGATGATTCTCTTCCTGAAGTTATCAAATGACACTTAAAATTAGAGTATTACATCACACCATAGGTGGTTATTTTCAAAAGGTACTTTTAATGAGCCACATTGGGACATATTCAAATTTATTGAACATGACTGTGCTTCGTGTAATTAGCGACCATGAGTGCTGCAGATGTCACTGAACTATGAAGATAACCGCTTCACCACAGTCTAATTATTTCTTGCATTTGCACCAGAGATGTGCAATCAAGCTGCTGGTGTGCGCCTCTCTGTTCGCACTCAGCATCACTGCACTCTGACCGCAGTTAAACATAATTACAGGCCTCTCTGTGTTTCTCTGCGTCTTCAGGAGCGGTTTCAAGTCAAGAATCCCCCATCTGCTTATTTGGAGAAGCTGAAAAGTTGTTTGGATCACGGAGGAGTCGGTTGGAAGGTACAGCCTACTTTCAGTGTTGAAAGTCAAATTTATATATATATATATATATATATATATATATATATATATATACACACACATATATATTATAGTTTTACCTATACACTGGAAAAGATGTTAAATAACTGCATTTCAAAAATACATTAGATTTATATGACATTTTTTAATTATGCTCGTTTTTGTTTCCTTTATGTCAGAATCTGCTTGTTTTGTAATATTTAGGTTCAATTTAAGTTTTGAGAAAAAAACAACAAAAAACAACATTTTATTTATATACTCACTTGTCTACAAACCACTAATTACTTAGGTCTTCTGTAATTTATACTTTTTTTTTTTTTAGAGGGCAGCATTTATTAATTTTAAGTTGATACAAAACAGACACATAGTTCAATAACAGTACCTGGAAATGAGTTTATATATATAAAAAAGAACTGTATAAAATAAACTGCTTAACCTCTAAAACATTTTGTTTTTCTCAGAGGTATAACAAACAGTTAACCTTCTGTGAGGGATATTTAGCTCAGTCTTTTTATTCAAATGTGATATTTTCTGAGTAAATGTGTCAATGGCCTCTTCTGTACTTTAAATGTGTTTTGTCAGCTTAAGAGACGTGTTCAAGAGCTGACCCAGGTCCTCAGAGAGCTGGAGATTTCCCTGAGGACCAATCACATAGGGTAAGTCTCACTGAAGTATTAACGTAGTTTAACAGGTAGAGAAAAGACATTAGGATCCAGAATGGGGAAGGGTTGGAAAAGCCACAAATATTCAGCTTTACATCTGTTTGTATGGTTCTGCCTAAACGCCAACTGGTGAGAAATTTGAGAAACCGTTTACCGTGAATTTAAAAATGATTCACATGCAATTTACATACAACAATTAATGTTATTATAAAATTTTTCTGTGTTATGTTTCCTGCAGCTGGGCTCAGGAATTCCTAAATGAGGAGAATCAGGGTTTAAACGTGTTGGTGAAGTATCTCTCTGCCGCTCAAAGTGCTGTTACGTGAGTATGGATTAGAAATATCCTTTTTTTTTTAAACCCAGAAACAGACGTGACACAAATTATGTGAAATGTGTTAGTCTTGTTTTTTACAGTCTCTTTTGCTGGAATGGCTTAACCCGAGAACATTGTAAATATTCATCTGAATGAGTGCAAACACGGCTTATCCTTTCATGGCTGTGATTTACAGGTCAGACACAGAGACGTCCGAAAACGGCGCACTGCCCTCAGATAAAGGGAAGGCTGCAGACAAGTCGGTGGAAGACGTCGGCAGAAATCCGAATGAATCCCCAACCAGCCACGGCGCGAAGCTCACTAAAGCGTTTACAATCAAGTATGAGGCATTTCTGAGTGTTGTTGATAAAGTCTATTCAGGATGTCAAAGAAGTTACATGTGATGAGTGTTAAATACAATGTCATAGAATTAGGGAGAAATTAGAAAAAAAATTCAAGAGAATTTTATAAGAGCCATGTAAACATGTAATATGCAAACCAATTAAATTAAGTTTACTTTACCTCTAATTGTCAACAAATTAGAGCAACAAATGCAACTTCCAGGAACTTGACAAGACAACGATGGGTCTAATTTATTGCAATTTAGATTAGATTGCAGTCTAATTGAATAAACGCCTGGGTTACATTAGAATTTAGGTAATCATTTATTGACAATTCTCAAAAATATACGATAAAAAGAGGCACACCTGACTCCAAAAAGTGATTGTTCCAAAACCAGCGTTATTAGGAGTTGTCATTCGCTGATCCTACTGGGGAATGAAAATCAAAGAATTACCAGACCAGGACAGCATTCTAGGTAAAGAAAACACAAAGTCAACAGCAACGGCAGCATCAGGAGCAGCTTGGTCCCAGGAAAGGAACAGCTTATCACAGATTCACTTGGCTCACAAGTTCATTTCTACAAACGATTGAATTCAGGTGTTTCAATTGCTTCCACGGCCACAGTTGTATGAAATCCAGCTCTTGCGCTCTTGCTCTATCTCAGGAGATCAGCAAATACCAGCATGGTTTCGAGATAAAATGCCACCTGTGCAAGACGTTCAGTCAATAACTTTTCTAATTACTTTCCACAGGAAACAGATGATAGTTGCGTGATAAAGCGGAGGCAACTTAGCCACGAGGCAGTGGCTTTTGTAGAAATCAGAGCGGTGCACAGAGGTCACCAACATTCTGCGAGCCAGTAGCTGCAGACCTTCAAAACGGTGTGTCCTCCAGATTACATCAAGAACTGTGGTTAGTGAGGTTCATAGAGGAAGGTTTCCACGGCTGCCAGCTGCATTCAAGTCAGGGTTTTCCTAGTTGATCTCAATTTCTAGTTTTATTTGGTTGTTCTTGTCTTAACCAATTCTGATTTAGCGTTTTTTTACAGCACTCCAACACTAGAAAAAAACTGAGCTGTGGATCCCTTTGAAGGGAGAAGTAATTTTGAATCCAACATAAAACGAAGGGATAACAAGATTGTCCTGATTTTTTTAATTGAAACATATGTCCCCTAAATTTGATCAAATTTTTTATTTAACTGAAAAAAAGTGCACCAAAAGTTAAGTGTGGACTAAAAATAGATGGCCTCAGCTGAAACTCCTCTTGATCATTTTTATATTTTTGCTGAGATGCAATTTGATCAAATTAAGAAGCCGTTTCTGTTTAGCTGCTGAGACTGCTGCGGTTTCCAAGCCGACTTGCCCTCGGGCACATGGATAAACTCAACTCCAGAGTCGCGCGTTTCCTGAACCGTCTTATCTTTCACTGATCTGAGGTCACTGCATTCTTTTCATGGCGAGTATGAAGGTGTTTGTCTGGCCTCCTGTTGAACAGAAGGTGTTGAAATGTAAAAAATGTCTCAACCGGAAAGTCTCATAAGGAACGCGTGGACTCACATTAACTTCCCATTGTTCTATAAAAGATTGTAAAAAGTTAAAACTTATATTGGAAATACAATAAATGGATTGTTTCAGAGTTTTGTCGCAAATCAGTGGTTTTTCTAAGGACAGTTGCATGAAATCTGTAAAATAATAATGACTTAGGTTTGTCTTTTGTAGTTTGATGCAAGTAAAAAAAAAATGTTTGTCATAAATTCCTGTCATGATTTCTATTACCTCATGTGTAAAAATGTATTTAAAACATCTCCTACATTATTTTAAAAAGCTATATGCGTGAATGTATGTTGGTGCAGCATGCTCCACTTCTACCTGATGGATTAATTATTCTCCAGCAGGAGAGTGCAGAGGCCGTCGCGTATCGTGACTCAGAAGGACGACATTCATCTCTGCATCATGTGTCTACGTGCCATCATGAACTACCAGGTATGTAAATACTTCCACTCCCACAAGGAAATGTTTTCTTTCTCCTTGTGTAAATAATTATCACTGTTAATGCGTCATTGCAATAAAAATACTTTAGGATGCTTTGATGAATATGTATATTGAAAGAATAGTTCTAACTTTGAATTGAAATGAAGGTGGTGTTAAATAACTACTATGTTCAGATTGCATTTGTATTGAAAACAAAAAAACATTCATTACAAACTTGATCTTTAAAAAAGTGTTGTTACTTTTGGATCTATTTTTTTGTTTTGTTTTATCGTTTGCAGTTTAACAGACTTTTGGCTTAGTTTATGTAACTTATTGGGGCGATTTTGGTAAAGTGAGAGAAAACCTTGCCAAGACTCATGATTTTAAATAAAGGTGAAAATTTGATAGATCTCAGAAAAATGTTTTAAATACAAGCAGAAATATGAATCACTTGCAACTGAAATAGTACAGAGGATATGTAGAAGTATCCAGCTTTATGCAGCGAAGAAAACTCTGGGCTGCAGTGGGACATTTCAGGAGAATTTCATGTTCCTTCAGACTTTTTGAGATGCCGAGTTAAAATTTAAAATTGATTTTGGATAGACGTGTGGGAGAAGATATTTGAAGTTTAAAAAAAGTCAGCATGGTCCTGATGCTTGCTAAAATGTATGTATCAACTCCCATTCAGAATTTTATTGGCAGTCTATTTCAAACCCTGATCACCATTGATAAAATGTGAAAAGAGATGAGATTTCAGTGAGTTTTCCCTGACCTCCATTTCTAACATTTGCAATATTATAATAATTGTACATGTTTTCAGTCAGGGTTCAACCAGGTGATGGAGCACCCAAGCTGCGTCAACGAGATCACGCTCAGCCTCAACGACCGGAACCCCAGGTGAAACGAGCATTATTTACAGTCACTCTTTAACAACTAATAATGTTTTTATTTATGGCATTTTTTAGTAAACATCAGTTGTTGAATTCTCTTTGAAATAGCAGCTCAACATTTTCCCTCATGAGCTTAATATCAGACTTAATCACCTTCCACATTTCCGGTTCCATCATTATGTCAGAATTGCTTCCGAACCTGAATAAAATTCAGTAGACAAGAATTCAAATTTCTGTATAAAACTACCAGCGATTCCACTGATTCGGTGTGGAGTGCTCTAGTTAGTATCTGCATCTTACTTTTTTTTTTTTTTTTTTTTTTTTTTTTTTTTTTTTTTTTTATGGCTTTTCAGAAAATATAATTGAAAATGCTTATAAAATAGCTAATTCTCATCTTAAACTGAAATTAGCCTCAATGCTAACTTGAAACTTTTATCTAAAAAAAATGCATTTATTTTGGTACGTAATTTTTTTTTACTCTTCTCAGGACCAAAGCCCTGGTGCTGGAGCTGCTGGCAGCTGTCTGTTTGATGAGAGGAGGCCATGACATCATCCTGTCCGCCTTTGACAACTTCAAAGAGGTCAGATAACAGGCACCCATGTAATCAACATTCAGAGTCTGGACAGAGCAGGTTCCTGCCCTGTGGAAATTGCTTGACTTGATGGAAATTGTCCGAGGTTTAAATGTCAGTTTTCACTTCGTCCTTCCCGCTTTGTTCAGCTAAAGAAAAAATAAGTTTGGAAAAAAAAAAAAATTAGATCTAAATTCTACTTCAGTCATACGAAGGTATATTTAAAGTCTGCGTCAGTACGACAGAAGCAAAATAGGGAATGAAAGTCTATTAAGTTCAGATTAATTTCTAGAAAAGGTGCTTATTGTTTCAGTATTGTCGATTACTGTTCCACTGTTTACGACGAGCAATGGTCTAATAATCAATGTTAGACTTGGTGTAAAAAAAAAAAAATAGGAAAAAAGAGAAAATTCTAAGAATTCAGTAGCAAAAGTGAAACCGACACATTTCAGTTATTTTGTTAACTTTGATTATGGCATAGAACTAATAAATATTCTGTTTTCTCAAATAATCTGAATGTAAAAATCATTTTTAATCCATTAATATAAACCTACTGAAAAGCCTGCTCACGTAATGTACTGTAACTGAACTGAAAGTACTTAGTCAATGTTTTGCATGAAAAAATGCATCACTGCAACGTAGCAAGGAGCAGAGTCTGTTGCTCTGCTGAGGTGCTGAGAAAGCCCAGTTTTCAAATCTTTTCTGCATTGCTGGCTCTGCTGCCTTCCATCGTTCTCCATCGTTGCTCTTGAAGCTCTAATCTTAGCTGCAGTTCACACGTAAATCTTCCCCAAATCCTTGAATAAACTTTCCTTAATCCTCTCAAAGCTCTACTTATCCCTGTTGTTTATGACCTTTTTTTCTATTGAGTTTTTTCCTTCCACTGAGTTTTCCTTAAGGGACGTTGAAAATCTAGTGTTGATCTTTCAAATCTTACCCTGACGATGGAGTGTCAGTGACTGACAAAATACCAAAAACAGTGATCTTGATTGTGTTGACCTTAACATGACAATTTATTATGAAGCACCATTATCGAATGGTGAAGTAACAAAAAGACCATAACCCTTTTTGTATAAAACAAAGTCCTGAAATATCATCTCTAACTTTTCTGGACTATTTTTTGAAGTCAGAAAAAAAAAAAAGGAAGCCAATGTTTTCACTTTTCGGAGCAGTTCAAACAGAAAATTCATGTTTTTTCACTTTTACTAATCTGCCCCAAGTCATATAGCACTTTAAAAAAATTCTGATCTATTTATCATCGGTGCTCACACCAGCACCTCCGTCCAAGTGTTGCCCCGTCCAACAAAACTCTCTGAAGGAGTGTAAATATGCCAAACACTCACAGAACCTCTGACCTTTGCTTTTCATCTCAGTAGCAACAGCAGTCACTCAGAGACGCTGCAACCATTCAGACAGACAGGAGGGTAAACCTGAACTAGCAGCATTTATTTTTACTACAGGATGCGACAAACCTGCTTTGCAGCGTGTTTCATCCTCTGAGCCACGGCAAAGGAATGCAGTCTGAGGGCCGAACTCACGAAATAAACTTAAGACTTAAGGTGCACAAAACAAGCAAGCAGTCGCACTTAAATGTTCTGAACTCACTGCAAATGCTGCTTTCCTCTCTGCAAACCATGTCAGTTAGCAGTAATCGACAATGCTGTTTGCTGTCGGGAAGAAATGAGGAGGACAAGAGAGATTTTTCTTAATTTTAGTGCCACAGCAGCGCAGACATGGGTGAGAGTCATGAGGGAGATGATGAGAGATCGTGTGCTTCTGCTGTAGAGGCAGGCGGGCGTCAGGCCAGGAGGCGGTTTATGTGTCGCTTGGCAGCAGAGGTACAGCTTTGTTTGGGCTCCTGCATTATTTAGTGGACATGGGTTTGCAAAAAGGAGCTGGTGGAAGTTCAGTCAGTTGTATAGCAGAAGGGGGAACTGATGAGGTGTTGACAAAAAAAGAAAATGTTTAAATGTAACCACATACTCAAACATTTTTTTTTTTTTACTGTTCTTTTGTTTGGTCTTTTCTGGAGCTGAAAATGGTTGTTGATTCTAGTCTACACAAGTGGGAAATTGGCAAACGTCCTATCTTAACAGTGTTCCCAAGTAGATTGTGTGTTTGCTAAGAAACGCATGACTAGCGTCAAAGCATTACCTACATTCAGAGGAAAAAAACTCCACTTAGGATGAGAGCATACTGCCCCCATGTGTTCACTGCTGCTGAAAACATTACCATGAGCAGCATATGAAATAAGAACATGTTTGCTAATATTTCCCTTTTTTCTCTCTCTCAGGTGTGTGGAGAGAAAAGGCGCTTCGAGAAGCTAATGGAGTATTTTCAGAAAGAAGAAAGCAACATTGACTTTATGGTAAACCTTGAATCAAACAGAGATTTTTTTTCAAAATATGACCCGTCAACCGAAGATGCAACAAAAGTACTTGGAAGGAATTCGAGCTGCAAAAATTTGAAACTTTTTTTGTGGAAATAAATATCAAATCTCAAGCATTGAAATTGATAGTTATATTAATTAATTAGTCAGGCAAAGTTCTTCTGAACACATACACATCAGAACTCTTTTTGTTTTAATAAAGAAGCTAAAATTTGTCCAAAACATTAGGTTCAAAGTTCTCAAACACATTCAATTTTCCCCAACACTGAGACTTTTTTTTTTTATCCAAGCAACGTAAAAACTGGAAAATATTCCAAATCTGAGTCTTTACAAGTTCCTGAAAAGAAATAATCTTTACTTAATCTCTCCACCAGGTGGCCTGTATGCAATTCATCAACATTGTGGTCCACTCGGTGGAAAACCTGAACTTCAGGGTCTACCTTCAGTACGAATTTACCCAACATGGCCTGGATTCCTACTTGGAGGCAAGTTTGGCCTTCCACCCTCTGAACATGATAAATACAACTTTTAAAAATTGGAGCAGACACACCTCACACTTATGTCTCATTTTTGCTCAAATTAAACTCGAAGGTACTGCTTAAATCTCTCCATTGCAGCAGTTGAAGTTTACAGAGAGCGACAGGCTGCTGGTCCAGATCCAAGCCTATTTGGATAACGCGTTTGATGTGGCAGCTTTGCTGGAGGATGCAGAGACCAAGACCACCCTGCTGGATCACATAGAGCAGCTGCAGGAGCTCCACACGCAGGTGAATGAATGGCACACACCAACTCCTCTTTAAAGGACACTTCACACACACATGTTATGGAACTTTCAGGTGTATTCCATCACTTTTTATACTATTAATACAGCCATTTAGATTCTGTGACTTTTCAGCGACAATGTCAGTTTTGGAAAAAGGTTTTCTTTAAAGTATTTTGTTAGCTGCATTAAAATGACTTTATAGGAGAAATAAACAGTAAAATCTGTGTAAAGCTATAAAAAATAAAAAAAATCAAAGGGAGAATTTCTCAGGTAATTAAACCTTGCAGTCAATTTACATTCAGCTACAGTTGATTGGTGCAGATTTTGCTTTGTAAGCAGAAATATCAAAATTTATCTCAAACATGAAAACTTTACCTTTTCATGTTTCAGCTGAGCTCCAAGTTCCAGGAAACCGAGCTGGGGGCGATGCAGAAAGTCTCCGAGCTGGAGAAGAAGCTCATTCACATCTGCAAAGAGGTGGACCCCTTAAAGGTACAGTACAGCTGATGCACGCTCAGAAACACCTAGTGCGCTGTAACAGAAAACATCTGGAAGATGCCATCATCCTTTGGCATTTAGAACATTTTACACAGTAACAGGGTTCGAAGCAGGAGAAACCAGAATGAAACAACTTGATGAATTGTTTTAAAAACCTGCCTGAACAGAAAATAGCAGATCAGAGTTTTAAAGGCTTCATCTCAGCTCTTTTTAAAGTTTTTTGTGTTCTTTAGGCCTTCGGATATGGTTCTATTTATGAACGGAAGCATTCATAAGAATGCTTCCGTTATGAAACATTCATAAGAATGTTTGCATTCTTATGGATGGAAGCATAAACAGGCAAACACACACCTAGGACTGCTGAGAGGTGGCAGCAAAGCCAAGCACAAAGGCAGAGAGATAAACATGGTAGCATAGTAAATTCCCACAATCAAGATGGAAAAGAAGAACATTATAGCAGCAGTAATTCAGAATAGCAATATCAACAGTCATTAGATCGTGGGGTGATGAGGAAATGTTAAAACTGTTGCAACAGGAAAAATGAGGGGTTGCAGTCACACACATTAGCTACAACAAGGGGAATATGACCCGCCTGCTGTGCTGCCAAAACACTCACATAGTCCGAGCTACTAAGACCGGTGTAATGAGTCATTTATATACATTCTGGTTATTATGGAGGATGAAATAAACTTTGTCAAGCTGTTGAACAAAATGAATACATTTTCTGTTCTGTCTTGATAGACTGTTCTGTAATTAATCCCATGTACCTGCTGATTTTAGTTGCATTAGGTGGCACTTTCATTTTGCTCCCAACTCCTTGTTGGCTAAAACTCTAACAGAAGTGGGGTATGAATAATTATAGTCCTCAATATTTAGCTGAATAAAGTGACTGTAAACAACTGGATAACACAGCTGTTTGCCAAGTGCAGGCTAGAGCACAGAACAACGCGTCACCGATTGTTCCTACTGTTGCGACAGTTCACGACGTAGTACCTTTGTAACCAATGCTTGTTCTAAGGGTTACAAAAGTGATTGTTTACACCTTCACGTATGTTCAAGGTTCGTTTCTCTGTGCGTTTCTGAACCTAAACTGGATTAGAGATTAAAAGTGGAGGGAGACTGCGTTGGCTTTACTAGATGAGACAGACATTGCTTAGTTTGTGTCTGTATTAAAAAACCCCAAATTTTTACCTACTCCATCTATTAATGCCCACAGATCTGCTTTTCTTCCCCTTCATGTTCTTGTCTACAGTTTGTGCGTGTGTGTGTGCGCGATTTTAATCATCTTAAGTCGCAAGAGATGTGAGGGTGTCCCAAGTTATCCCTCACCAGAAAATAAATCTATTTATTTTTAATTTAACAGAAAGATTTACCTGCAGTTTAGCAAAGTCTTCTGTTTTACGACTACAGCCGGAAGTTGCAGGGGAGCCAATCGGCAGCTGACATTCAACAAAGGAATCCAAGTAGGCAGCTATAGGACAGATGAATTATTATGAATCAATGTATTTATTTGGCATGTGTATGTATGTGTGCAAACTCAAAGTTTAACTCTGCACCTCGTTTAACGCTACTCATTTTGGACCAGCAGCCAGATCAAGCAGGAGACGGACGTGGATCCTCTGATGAGCTGAAGGAGCTGGAGCTGAGGGTTCAGGCTCTGGTGGAGGAGGGCCTCCTTCGAATGGACCGCGCCCCCTCTGGTGAGCTGGTCCTTCAGGTGGTCCAGCGGGAGTCACAAAGAGGTCAGCACAGAGGCGTAGTTCTAACTAATCAGCTGCATTTGTTCTTTGATATTCCGAGAAGTCCACCTTCCTGAAGTTGCTACAGTTTATGCAGCGCGTCAAGATTTTATTTAAAGGCTCATTCATGTGCAGACTTTGGAGGTTTATACGTCATGTGACTGATCCTTGCAGACACCGTCAGTGATCAAATAGACGGTACTTCCACCTCCCCACAATCTCCAACCAAGGAACTACCGAAGTTTCAACCTCCTCCTCCGCCGCCGCCGCCTCCTCCCCCACCACCGCCTTCTGGAGGCGCTGTGGCGCAGCAGACAGTGGGGGGCTCGGGTGAGTTCACCATCGCAACTTTAAACCGTTTTGATCTTTTTTACTGGGCTTCTGTGCCGTCTGGAAAATTGTATTTGATTCATGTTCCAGGACTGGAAAAGTGCGCAAATAGAGAACCCAAGTTTGGAAAATCTGTGTCCAGATTTTGTTTTTGCGTTGCCATCATCTAAATCACCCAAACTTCATTTTACAGTCTGGATTTTCCAGGTTTCACATTTAAAGTCTGACCTCTGCAAAAAATAAAAAAATTAAAGACTGAAGGGTTTAGTTTTACTTTAAAAAAAAAAAAAAAAAAGACTGAGAATTCTGAATATGAGAATATGGAAAAAAAAACACTGAATTTTGAAAAGTCTGTAGGAAACCCGAATGGTCTCAGTATATTTCAAAGGTCAACAAAATGGGCAGTGACTGGGAAGATAGAGCATCATCAACCATCCTCATCATGCTGCACAGTAAATAAAATCTAATCAGATTTGCCTCGTGTTTTGCCTTTTGGTTGATTTGTGATGGAGAAGTGTATTTGGCTGAAAAATATCTTAGAAATTATCCTTGACATCAGGTTCCCATTAGGAAAACGGTCTAGCAAACATGCAATTTCAGCTTTGTTACCCTGGATGCTGTTTGAAGTCTTTGTCACTTTAAGATATGCACCACTGAGAAGTCACTAAGCCCCGGTGGACATGTTGCTCAAGCTTGATTAAGCATTTTTTCCTATTAAAAATCTCTCTAAGGATAACAAGTGGTGTAAAATCTGAACATCTAAACATTTTCTTTATTCCTCCTACAGACAAACAGAAGAAGCCCATTCAAACCAAATACCGCATGCCGCTGTTCAACTGGGACGCTCTGAAATTAGACCAGGTGGAGGGAACCATCTTCGGCGAGCTGGACGACCAACACGTCTTGCAGGTTTCTAAGCTATAAAAGTGTTCCATCATCATACACACTTGGGTAACTCATAAAAAAAAAAACTACAAACTTGGCTGGAAATATTTTAGTTGTGAAAAACAGTCATGAGATTCTGATTAGTAGCCAGCTGAACGTTTACTATTCATGCAGAATGCACATACTTGCACTGTAAAGGGCAGAAACGGGAAAAACGTACTTCTAAATGCATATTCAGTTTTACTTAAGAATAAGCACAAGTATATTCCATAAACGGTGTTAGTAATGGCAATATGCTGTAATGTTTTGCAGCTACTGTTTCTGTTTTTTTTTTAAGCACTTAGTTCATGTTATACGTTATAGTTTATCCAAAACCAGAAAAAAAAAATATCCAGGGTTTTATGCCTGATAATCTCACATCATCACATCTCTAGCTTCATATTAGCAACACAGTTCTGCAGTTTCTGCTTTTGGACTAAAACTGTTTGTATTTTAAGTGAACATACTGAGATTTTAAGTAGAAATTTCTCTAAAAAATATATATTGAAAATTTAAGTTAGAACCTTTTAAAAACAAAAATGGATGGAAATCTCCGGATTTAGGTCATAAAAGTTTTTACTCCAACTCTAATTACAGGATATTAATTGTAAATTCATTTAAAGAAAGAGAAAACCTTCAGCCTTTTGTTTAAACTCAAAACGTTTCTGCTGCTGTGCTTTTAAACTCTGTTTCAGGAGCTGGACATGGAAGTTTTCGAGGAACAGTTTAAGACCAAAGCTCAGGCCCCTCCGGTGGATCTGGGCACCCTGAAGAAGAAAATGGCCAGGAAGACTCCCAGTAGAGTGTCCATAATGGAGCCCAACAGGGCCAAAAACCTGGCCATCACTCTGCGCAAGAAATGCGTGGCTACATCAGACATCTGCAGCGCCATTGAGACGTACGTGCCGAACTTCAAAATAGTCAGCCGAATGCAGCGACCAGTAAATTCAGAGGACTGTTGTTCACACAGGTACGACCAGCAAGCTTTGAGTCTGGACTTCCTGGAGCTGCTGGAGCGTTTCATCCCCACGGAGTTCGAGATGAAGCTCATCCAAACCTACGAGAGCGAAGGTCGGTCGCTGGACGAGCTCAGCGAAGAGGATCGCTTCATGGCGCGCTTCGGCAAGATCCCGAGGCTTTCCCAGAGGATCAGCACGCTGACCTTCATGGGAAACTTCACAGAAAGCATCCAGAACATCCAGCCTGTGAGTTTATGTGGCCTGAAACGGGTCTCTGCAGTCTGAGAAAACACAAATGTCAAGTGGGTGTGTGTGTGTGTGTTGAAGTTACCGTTTGGTTTTAGGGAAACCATTTTGCAAGGTTGCTCGTTTACCTGTAACCTTGATCACGTTTTCATTGCCGTCTTGCAGCAGCTGGACGCCATTATCGCAGCCTCAATGTCTGTCAGATCGTCCATGAAGCTGAAGAAAATCTTGGAGGTAAATGGTTTTATTTAAATGTTTCGACTAACACATCAGCAGATGAGAAAACGCATTGGAGTGGTTAAATATTGTCTTCCAACTTTAAACAGAAAGATGCGTCACAGTGCTCCACTTGTTTCTGGTTTATAGATCATTTTGGCGTTTGGAAACTACATGAACAGCAGCAGGCGAGGGCCGGCGTACGGCTTCCATCTGCAGAGTTTAGACCTGGTGAGAAACTCTAAACTGGATTAAAGTTTGAGTTTGCACCTTCAAGTAGCTATGAATTTGTAGCCGTCTCAGTCTATAGGTTTTCTTTAACTGCTCTGCTCTGCTGACTCCTTAAAGCTACCGGACACTAAATCAACAGACCGCAGACATACGCTGTTGGACTTCATCGTCAAGATCATCCGGGAAAAATACCCGGACCTGCAGAATTTCCACACTGAACTGCAATTCCTGGAAAAGGCAGCGCTCGGTAACCTCCAACATCACACGAGTCTGACCTACAAACAGCACCACGCGTGTTTAGAAAATTTGAACATATCCTGCCTAACAAAAACAGCTAATCAGAGGAAAACTCCACAAGTGACCAAAGATTTCATTGATGGAGTATTTTTCATGCATGCATATGTGCAATGAGATGAATGGTTTACTTACAGGCTACTACAAAATTTTCATTGCACATCACTGATTTTTTTTTTTCTAGCAAATTTTCTTAAATTGTTTCAAAGTACTAATTCCAAAGAGTAACTAGGATTTTAAGCGTAAAACAAACTTTACGCGGAGAGGAAAAAAGACACAAAAAAAAAAAAAAAATGGCTCATTGGAACATAAACATTCCAAACAGCTAAACTAAAATTTGTCCCTCAAATTGTAAATTATTCCACAGAGCTCAGATGAAATCCGACGGGTGACGACACGGGAAGCCACAGTAGAGGGTCCATGAATATGTAGCAACAATATGCAACGTTGTTACATGTAAACAGTTTTCTCGTCACACCTCTGCTGGAATATTTCTACTGTATTATTTTCAATCCTCATCTCCAGCATGCAGAGCCCAATGGCACCCAGTCTGGATCAGTAAAACACCTTCAGCTTGCAGCCCTCTGCAGTTTTTCAGGCAGTTGCATTTAGTTTATTAAACCTTCTGTTTTCCTCAGATTGCTTTTAAGGAGTCAATCATAACTGTTCCTATTTCTATTACTTTCTTTTTTTTTTTTATTCAGGACCTTCATCATTTCCCAGCAGCTTATTTTAATAAAACGACTGTATAAAAACGACCGCCTCTGTGGTTCTAGTTCTGTTACAAATTGGGCCGATTTGAGAGAGCAGTTAATGGGAAACGCCACAGAAGACGACATTGGGGGTCCAATTCAGCAGCTCACACTTTTCTGAAAGACTATTTTGCTTAATATTACTGTGAATACTGTCAGACTTGCTAAGATTTTACTTCATTATCTAATAAATCCTGCTGGTTTTTATGTACTTTATACTACAGAAAGGTGAGAAAATAGGCAAAGATGTTCACTTCAAGTTCACAAAAATCACAGAAATGTACTTTTCAAACGAAGAAAAGTTAAAGATATAATTTGAATTCAATAAAATTTGTATTTATAATGTTATGCAGTAATGTGGCTGAAATGATGGTGCTGGAAAGAGGATACAAAGAGAGATCTCTTCATTTCCTTAACAGTTTCTCTCAGTATAAACCTTTGTTTTTCCGTGCTGCAGTATCCTTCGACAGCATCCTGAGGAATCTGAAAGCTCTAGAAAGAGGCATGGAGCTGACCAGGAGCGAGTTCTCAGCAGAAGAAGAAAACCCTGTCCTGAAAACGTTTCTGGACACCAACGCGCCGCTTCTTGACTCTCTGAAGGCCGAAGAAAAGACTGCCCAGGTCAGCCTCAGTGAACTCAACTCATTTAGTTTTATTTGTTTCTCCTCCTCACTCTTGTTTTGGGGGGGTCATTGGCATTCAGGATACATACGAGTCGGTCGTGGAGTACTTTGGAGAAGATCCCACAATGACTCTGCCCTCTGAGTTCTTCTCTATTTTTATCCGGTTCATCAAAGCGTACAAGGTCAGAGATTTCATAGCTTAAAAAGCTCTCTAAAGTTTTACTGTTCAGCAGTAATGACTCTGATATTTCTCTGGAGTTTATAACCAGTTAATATCTAAATTTAGCTTTATCTACAGGTTTCAGTCAGAATAATGTTTTTATTGCTCCCTGACAGCAAGCTGAGCAGGACAGCAAGGAGACAGAGAAACGACAACGTCCAGCTTGTGACGATCACTCCGCTCCTCCCAAACCGGAGCCACAGAGGAACACGGTAACAGCTCAGCTTGTGTTTTCTAATAATTATCACAGACGAAACCAATGAAATGTACAGTTGTTTCAAAATGACTAGAAGAAACTACTGTCGAAGACTCAACTACTTCCACTCCCTGTAAAAACAAGACAGAAACGAGATACGAGAGATTAAAGTCAAAGAGAAACGACAACGTTTCTATGCAGTGCGCTCCTTTCACGCGTCGTGCCGCAGCATTTCATGTGCTGTGAAATCTCCAGAAGGCATCCTAATTGCTTGGCTTTTTAAATATAATTGTATTTGATACCAGTGGCATTTATTCAAAAGCAATATTTTTTGTTGTTGCAGATTCTTATTCCAAGTTCAAATTTCTTGACTTCTTATTTAAATATTTAAGTTTTAGAATTTTTTTTGTCCAGTTATGCGAAGCTTTAGGATCTAACCACTTGTTTGAAAGAAATATTCAAATACATTATATGCACATCAATCTTAGCTACCGAATCAGATAATTCTGTAATAATAATCATACAAAATTTAAGAAGGGCAATTACACTGCTTATTGGACATCTATACTTTTTCCACACTGATTTTTCTAATTGTAACTATGCATGGTTTTGAAAGGGGGTCCTTTTTAGTTGTCAAACAAAAAGATGAACTCTGTTTTCAGAAAGAAAATCACAATTGTAGAAATTGTTTAAAAAAAAAAATCGAGTGAATTTAACTTACCAGAAGTGTTAATAAAACATTTCCCACAACACGATTTACAGACAGTATGAATAAGCTCAACTCTGTGTAAATAATTACTTTGTCAATAAGCCTTTTAAGACAAATTGAGCTTTAAGTTTGTTTGTTTTTTCTCCCACTTTTTATAATCCTAAGGAAAAAAAAAACAAGTTTGTATTTTTGGGAACTTATTGACTGATATGCAATTCATCATTTGTTTCATTTAGGATTGAGTTTAGAGAATACAACCTGTATTATGTTGGGGAAAAATACAAAAGCTGGTTTGAGGTGAAACACCAACTTCCTGACATCAGCAGCCAGATAAAAAAATCTGGTCGTGATTTACTGTGGTATTTATCTGTCGCTTTAATACCTCGTATTAGATGGTTGGGAGTAGTGTCCCCCCTGACGGCTCTCTAGCAGAAGCAAATCTGATTAGTAGCTTATATTGCAACAAGAAAACCAACTGCAGTCTAATAAACTGAAAGACAAGGGTCCCTGGGTGTTTTGATATCATAATTGATCCAGAGACATGATTTAATAACCTGTGCATGTGAGACCAATACTGAGCCTGATTTCTTCTTCCAGATTTCTATTATGTGCAGACAACCTCAGATGGATCTGATCGCAGAGCTGAAGAGGAAGCAGGGATCTCCTCCGGTGAGGGAGGGGAAAGACGGCGCCATCGAGGACATCATCACGGGTAAGAAGCCACCTGAGACTGTGCCCGACTGCGGAGTGAAATCAGTGCTTCCTGCTCGTCAGGAAACAGGGAAACAGTGGTTTCCTGACAGGCGGTCAATAGATTTAATGGTGATTTCATACGTTTAACACCATTTCTGCATTAAGACAAAAACATAAACTGTTGAATCTGCTGCTTTGCCGTTTCTGACACTCTCTTCCTCCTTTCAGCAAGTTTTCACTCCCTTTCCTGTAACCCTCTTATTTTCCACCCATCCATCTCTCCAGCTCTTAAATCTGCGCCCTTCACGGCTCGCTCAGCCAAACGCTCCTCTCGCCTCTTGTGCGACTCATTCTTCAGCGATGAGGTGACATCTTCAAACTCCGAGCACTACCGTGTTATAGACAGAAGAATATGTCCTGGGTAAAAACTGTGACGCAACGCAAACATTCGGAAGCCTCAGAGATACGGATAATTGTCACAGTTTAAATCAAACTGATGTTGACTTACAATCTCAGCAGGGGTTTCAGAAACTCCACTGAAGCATCTGGCTCAAGGAGGACAAGTTTGTTTACAGGGTTTCCTCCAGAGACTTCGGCTCCTCTGAATCATCTGAAAGCGTCTGCAGGATACAAGTCCTCGTTGGTTCCTTTAAACCTAAAAATATACGTAGCAGAGTTAAAGGCCTGCGAAACAACAAGAGGCAGACATGTTCTTTAAATTTGTACTTTCAAAATTGAGAAATAATTCCACAGAAAAATCTGGTATCCAACAGTTTAACCAAATAAGTCATCAGTGGACAAAATAATCAAAGTTTTGGCAGGAGCAGTAAGTTTAAACCATGTGGACACACATTATTATTCTAGCTGTAATGCAACACAACATGCAGGACCACATGAAGATTTACCCTTTAATTCAGTTCTTCACATCGGTTTCCATTGTCATATTAAAAACAGTTGAATGAACTATGGTTATGAATGAGTTGAATCAGAAGTGATTTAGAAGACACTAAAGTCAGCAACCGAGTAAAAGGCAATTTTCATTGCTCTGAATACTTTTAATTGATTTTCAACATAGTCAGTTACAACAGTTTTTTTTTTTATATCGACTATTTAAATATTTACGTCTCCAACAAAGAACTGTAAACCAGATTTTAAACTTTATTTTTCTCACTTGTAAGGCATCTTTTGGTTTCTGTTTCACCTCAGATTTAAGGAATCAGCCATACAGACGGACAGATGGTTCCCGTCACAGCTCCAGGGGGAGACCGGGCCAACAGCTTCAAGTATCTTCAGACATCTCCCTCTGAACTCTGGAGCTAGAAGCAGAAGGCGTTTAACAGTGAAGGAAACGTTTAGTCCTGTTCTCGTATCATGGTGGAAACGAAAAAAGAAATCAGAGCTGCAGCTCTGGAGAGTTCTCTTGATCCTCACAGTGAAAGTGGCAGCAGAAATGTTGCCCATCTTGCATAACCAAAAGGAGAAGCTTGATGTTGATGATACTGGAAGTCATCAGGACAATTTCCAGAGAGTCCAGCACAGAATGAACATGACAAAGAGTCCACTCAGAAATAGGTTTTAGTTACAACTGTCGCTGCTGTTCTTTGCGTCTCCATCTGAGGATTTTATTAAATTAAATTGTTTTAATATGGAATTTATGCTTAGCTTTGGCGTTTGAACAAATAAAGTATTTTATACTCCTGCCATTTACGTGACCTTCCTCATCTTACTTTGGAAAAATGTTCAACTTGGACCAAAAGAGAAAGACATTGTCACAATTCTCTAAAACACTTGACAATCACATTTAAACATGTTGCCTATAATTCCTGAAAAGCTGTGCATCGGAGGTTCAGCCGTCTCTGATGTCTTCTTCGTATTCCAGGGAATCTGCTGCAGGAAAACATTTCGCTGCACAGAGAGGATAAACCTTCGGATGATTTCCTCCTGAGAGCTGCTCTCATGTGGCCAATTACTCCAGTTTATCCAACACAGTAACACTGAGGTCTCAACACTTTGCACTGCAGACATTTTACAGCCCAACAGAAAACTATCCGGCTCCTTGCACCCGCTTCTTCTTTTCAAGTTTAAATTATTTCACAGATTGTGGAAATATGCACCTTGATTAAATTTAAATGATTGTTTTAAAGGTTGCAAAAGCTCACTTTTATTTTATTTTATTTTTTTTAATAAATGTGGATAAATCTTCAACTGCAATCATGGTTAAATGAAAGAACACGGCAGCAGTTGGTTTTATTTCTGGTCAGAACAATAATCTTCCACCACCTGACAGTAAAAGGCTGAAAAACTGCCCAGTTAGAGCAAACTGCATCACTGGCAATAAAATGTTGCACTGCTCAACTCCATTACAGACAGAAAAATCTGGGGTTGAGGAAGCAGCTTGACCAGGAGGATGCTTCAAATTTGTCTCCTCGTCCCCAAACAGGACCCACTTCAAGATTTATCAGACGTTTGATGATTGCGGGCCGTTAATGTTTAAATGTCCCCTCAGGATCCTGATCTTCATCTCACTGCTCTTCTCTTTGGTCTTTTGGAGTCATTAAACTTTCATCTAATCCTCACAAACGTCGTCTGAGCTCGTCGAGCTGCAGATCAGATCTAACCGAGCACATATTTGATTAGTTTCCAGGCGTTAGATTGTGACATTTATTTATCAGGGGTCTGGGGGGGAGAGGAAACTCCAGAGTCAACATGATTAAAGCTGCTGCGGCCGCTGTTAAATGATCAAACACTCATATTTTATTAAAGGCAGAACAAGTCCTGCGTCTCCATCAGAAGGCCCGTCAGCAGCAGACCATAAACACTCGAGCTGCATTTATGCTGAAACCGAGCTTTGCACAAGAGAGGGGAAGAAGAAAAGTCTGAATCAGAAAGCGACTTGCATCAAGGTGAGATTTTGTAGGAAAAATATTTTTGTAATTCATGTCTATTTTAAACCACCTTACCTCCACATGAAGACAGGCGATCCTTCAAATGAATGGAGAACATAACCTCCATCAGGGGCTGAGCTCCGGCGATAACTGCTCCATGTTTCTGTTCATAGCAATAAATCAGATGTAGACTTTGGAGGAATAGGCTCAACTTTTACCTAAAATAAATCCACAATTTTTGTTTTCCAACTCGCATCCTTTTTGTCTCCTTTGACTTTGGTGGATTCAATAAAAATTCACTCTCTGTAAAGGTCACCTTTATTTCTCCGAGTACTGATCCTTTTTACTCACGGTTGCCGTGCAGAATCTCATTCTTGTACATTCAGATCTTACCTGGTTTTTCATTAGCTTGAGGCAACAAATCGAGTCTTGGACAGTTGCTTGTGTATCAGAGGGTCACCTTTATTGTCACAAAAACACAACAGGAACGTACAAAAAGCAGCAACCCGTTTGTTGGATTTTCTCACATGAAGCAGCAATGTTTTTTTGTTTTTTTTTTCTTTTCCATTCACAGATTTGTGCTTTGTTCTGAAAGGATTAGTTAGTTGGTTTGTACTTACAGTATACTGACTTTGTAGTAGTTTATCATTCTTCTTCACAGTTCACAAACAACACTTACCCCACACAGCAAGCATCACTTTCAAACTGAAGGAACAGCATTTAGTTGATAAATATCTTTTAGAGATCTTCATAAGTGTGATAGTTGATTTTTTATTTTTTTCTTATTTATTCTGACAGTTATTCTGACGGGCTTTTAACAGAATACAAAAATCTATATGTCGCTGTACAGTTTTCTTTACTCTATCGTACACTCACAGGTATACACAGAATCAAAATGAGACGTCAGTTCAGCCGGCGTGCAGATTTTCCAGGAATGTTTACAGTATGCATGCCATTTTGGAGATTTTGGAGTATTTTCCCCCCCTCTATATATATAAAAATCACATAAAATCAATTTGTAATATATTATTTGGGTTTATATACATGATCTGAACATCCACAAATGATTGAACAATCACACTTTCATCAAGAAACCATCGATAAACAGTTGAATCTGTATAATCCGACACACTGTTGGTTAGAATAGAATAAAACAGCTACAAACAGGATGTCTCATCAGTGATGGGATTGTTTCATGTGCTATTTTTTTTAAATAAATGTGGTGGCACTATTTTACAGTTCGCATTAGGAGTGTTTTCTGGTCTCTACGGCAACGTGTGATTATGGTTTGTTTCATGGTTCGCAGAAAAAATAAAATCTTTTAACGCAGAAAAATAAAGAATTTACAGAATAAATGTGTTCCATGCTTATGAATCCTCTTCAAGTATAAAAATACAAAAAAAGTTTGATTCTATAAAACATAGATGACATTAGTTTTTCTTTTTTTTTACATGTTCTCTCTAAAACAAAAACTAAATGGTTTTATACTAATATACACACACACATCTGAAGTGTTTCCGGTCAGATTTAAACTTTTCTAAAGCTGGATTAGCTAATCCGCTCCTACATTTCATAAACAAGTTAGCTATAAACAGTAAATGTAGTTCCCCTCGCGTATAAGCACCGATCCTTTCAGAAACACTGGTTTGGTTTCATTTTAATCCAACAGCCTTTTAGCTCAACATGCCATGTTTCAGTTTCAGTCCGAATTACAAGAAAACAAACTGAAGACTAACATGTCAACATGCCTGTGTCCCAGTTTCACCCTTAATATCATGTATAACCATGAATGTCCATGAATTTTAAACCTAAGGCTTTTCAATGAAATAACTTTTGAGTGGTGCTCTCTGGTGACATATGGGAGTGAACAGCTGCTGTAAACTGAGGACTTTTAGACAAACAGTTTCATTTTGAAATGTTAAATGTTTGCTCTACTGGGCCTGATCTGGTCTTCTGCTTTGTACATCGGGATGTTTTACCCGTTCTTTCAGGGAAGTGCTAACTGTAAATACAATTACAAAGTGAAGGCACATGTCTTAAGTGTTCAAACTAAGGTGTCTGTGGAGCTGCTGCAGAAGTATGGCTGAATAAACATACAGGCCCCTTCAAACTTTGCAGCTGGAGAGTTTTATAGCAAAGATGCTCAAATTTATTTCAGTAAATGGAGAGGACTCGTTCATTTTCTGGAGGGGCTGTGCTTTGAAATGCTTTTTGACCTAATATTTATTCATTTTTACTTTGTTTTTAACACTTTAATTCTAGAAATCTTTTTGTTTTATTTTTTTTTAATCAGACAGATATAGTCTAATTACAAAGAAGCTTAATTATATCACTTGTTAAAGAGAAAAACGCTGTCTACACTAACCTGTGTGAAATTATAATTCCTTATTTTGCTGAACTGTAAATTCACTGGGATTGCTCACATTTTTCATTCAATTTCACCAGCCACGCCCAGGCCTGATCACTACCAGACCAGGACAGAAATGCTTAGAACCCATCTGACAGCAAGTAGGCTTAAAGATCTTAAAAAAAAAACAGCCTTGAAAAGATGAGTAACAAAATCTGACATCTATCAGTTTGGACAAGGCTGCATATTTCCATTTCTAAAGCTGTTTTTGGACTGGAGCCATCATCTACGAGTGGAGAAAGAATAGCAATGGGGAGAACTTTCCCTAAGAGTGGTCGGTGAGCACTGACTCAAGTACATCACGAAACAACCCAGAACAACATCTGAAACTCTTACTTGCCTCAGGTAAGGTCAGTGTTCGTGACTGAACAATAAGAAAAAAAATGGCATTTGTGGGAAATTTCAAAGGAGACCAGCTATCCTAGCCAATAAATACCACAAATGGTCCATCTCACATCAAATCTTTGATTTAAGGCAAAATTTAAATCCAATAAAAATGCTTTCTCAAAAACTTAAATGCTTGCAAACCCTCCAATGTAGTGCAATTAAATCAATCGTGGAAAAAAAAAAAAAAAGTGCACCACAATTCTCACTGGCGGTTATCATTGTTGCCACTAAGTGTGACTGGATCACCTATCAGGTTTAGGTGGCAAATATCCTATTACATTGGGCCAGGTTGGTTTGAACCTTATCGATGAAAAATTGCTAATAAACAGTTTATTAAATAAAAAAATTAAAATCTGATCGTCTGTCATATTAAATTTAGTTCCATTATCTGAAACATTTGTGTGTGACAAAAAGCGAAGAAACAGTCAAAGATGCAAATACTTTTCAACAGCATTAAACCGAATTGAATAAATTATAATCAGGGGATGATTGAAGTGGCCTAAGCAGTAAAGTAGAAGTAGTGTAAATCTACAGAAAAATCTGAGAGGTTTTAATTTTGGCCATAATAAAATGCATTTTACTTGACCAAAACATGCTCAAGAGGACCAAACCTAAATAAGACTGAAGACAGCAGAGAAAGTGAACTAGCTCTGAATTCAGTTCGGTTTCTAAATGGTTATCCAGTTTTACTCTGAACTAAACTTGGACGTAGATGTTCTGAGAGGTAGAATTTACTCATTAATGTCACCTGTCTATTCATTTATATTAAAACACCCGCTTAAGTGAAGCTGCCAGAAAATGAAATTCAAGCAAGTTCAACCCATTGTGGTTGTTATTCAACAATGCTGGACTGGACCGTTTTAAAGCAGCTTTATGAAGCTGTCAGAGATGAAGCAATAGATAAATTTAAATACTTTTATGTTTGACAAGTCCAGTTAATACTTTCATATGTTAATAATGCAAGATCTGGCAAAATGCAGGTACATTTCAGTAAATTAGAAGATCGAGAAAAAGTTACTTTTTAGTCATTTAATTCAAAACATTAATCTCAAACAGAAATTTGTAAATCAGTTTTATGTTTCAAGTTTATTTCTATTGATTTCTTGAAGTGAATGACTGAAATGAGAGTACTTTTCAATGATATTCGTATTTACTGAAATCCACCTGTAATATGAAGTGAAACACTACTGCAGCACCCTTTGTTTACATCTCATGCAGCTTTTACTTGTGCATTTGCTGCAGAATTCACTGAATAAAACAAAAAAAAATTATTACAGATACGGAGAATCCGCCAATCCTCAATTAAGCGTAAAACTGGGACATAGATCTGGTGTTAGGTTGTTAGTTATGGTGGTAGATGGATTTACACATTAGATGTGTTAAACTGCTTGTTGCAGGTCCAGAACTGCTGCAGTCACTTTCCAAATTTTACACATGAATCGGCATAGTCACATTAATTTCTCAGCAGACAACAGGAGCTCCTGTTTGCCTCCAAACTGTGACATTTTAACCAACAGTCACCTTCGAGGTGTGAATTAGGATTTAGAGGTCCAAAAGTGGAATGATCCGAGTACTCAGTCCTCACGTAATTAGTCCAGATGAGACCTGAGAGACCTGAGAAGCAGACAGGATGACAAAAGGCAAAGCAAGTGACGAAGAGGAGAAGAAAAAGAAACAAAAAAGAGGCTGGCTGACGGACTAAAAAAGGATGTCAGAAAAAGCAGTGAAGGGAAACGTCGGCAGAAATGATGATGATCGGCCGGATCAGTGAGCAGCAGAAGCTCAGGACTGCCCCAAAAAGCAAGCAGAGGGAGGAGGGGAAGTTTCAGAGCAAAAAAGGGAAAAAAATTTAATGGAGACATGAAGCGGTGAAAGGGGAGAAAACATAAAAATCAAAATTTACAAACAGACACATCAAGTTTTTGCTAAATCCCTTAAACCCTTCGTCCCTGCACTAGTGCTGCTCTGTGATTCGATCTGATTGGCCGATGGGAACGTCAGGTTTTGGTGCATCGGCGTGACGGTCCTCGTGTGTGCGGCTGTCGCTGAGCTGAAGCAGAGCTGCTGTTAGAGCTGCAGGACAGAAAAATCTGTCCTTATTCTGTTCCCCTTCCTCCTCCGAGTGACGCAGCATAAGAGGAGGAAGAGGAAGGAGGACAGGAACAAAAGGCAGGATGCAAGGAAATTAAGGCTGCGTAGGAAAGAACTGGAGATTGAAAGGATGACGTTAGGAAAGACGAGAAAGTAAAAAAAGAATAAAGGAGATGAAGAGTAAACGTAGAGGAAGGAAAAAGAGAGGAAGAATGAAATAAGAGACTGGGGAATTTAGGAAAGAAGAGATGAATAGAAAGAGAAATAAGGGCAAGAGATGTGAGACGGGGAGTGTAGAAGGAGGAATGAGAGGAGCCCACAGCTCCGAATAAGAGTCAAAAACGTTTGAGTTTCTGACCCCATCGTCAAACCGCCCGGAAGCAGAAGCAGGAGACTCCACAGCTTCTCTCCGAGCAAATTCATCAACCAAGTTGGGAAAAAAAAAAAAAAAAAAAAAAAAAACCGGCCCCCCCCCGGCCCCCCCCGCTGCCCCCCCCTATAAACAA